ATATATATATATATATATATATATATATATAGTATATATATCTATATATATATATATATATATATATATATATATACATAATATATTTATATATACATAGACGTTATGTAACCACGTCACCGACCATTCGCTCGAACGTCTGTCACCTGCCGAGATTGCAGAAGTGTTTTAACTCTGCATCGAGAGTGGCTCTGAGGGCTTTCACAGCGGTTTCCGATATTCATGGGGGGAAATTGCCAAATGCTGTTTCTCTGTTTTTCTCCTTTCACGCGCTTCCATCGAAAACCCTAACGAAGTACTCACGCATTTTGGTGAGAGCATTTCTGCGACGGTCCGGGGGTTTCAACTAAGGCGGGAAAGCGTCTGATGCATCGATTTCTCAGTAGCTAAAGCGATGTATTCAGTGTACTCGGTAGTTCTGGCAGCTGTTGTTCTCAGACGGGAAAACACACTGGCTGTATACATGTGTTTTGGCCGTCCTGAACATCATGTGTGCTGTTATCCGACTCACCCCGTATTAAAATTCGATTACCAATTTTTCCACCGAAATTTGCCAGTGAAGACGTACTATAATATTCCACGGGTAATATGAAAAAAATCTGATAAAAAAAAATGTGAAAAAAATATAAAAATTCTTCATCTGGTGGTGGGCCCTCAACCTGGGATGGGCTGCTTGAAACAATACTGGCACCGATGGTCAGTCAGTCTACGATGGTAACCACGATGCCACATCGCAGCCGTGTCGTCTGCTGCCGTTACCGTGGATGCGAGACTCGCACGTCCGCCTGGTGGCGAATCTAACGACCGCAGCGGCGGAGATTTAACCCATTCACTTTTTGCAGCAGAGGGAGCTACCGAGGTTGAACGTCTTAACGCTGCCACCAGATGGCAGCGGGCCCGATCAGGTGCCGTGGTGGCGCCGCCGGAGGAGCGCAGATCCCGTCACCGTGCCGATTCCGTATTATCGTCAACATAGGAACTTAAGCTTGTGCGCGGAAGAGGAGGCGGGATATGAAAATGAGGCAAGAGCACGGGCCGTCGGTGCAACGTGTGCGAGGGGGGGGGGGTGAGAAGCAATGGGGAGGTGTTAGCTTAAATGAGAGGAGAATTTGAGAAGAAGTAGCATAGGAGGGTTGGTGCCATTAGCATATCTATATAGGGCATATTATATTAGCGATATATTAGCATATAGCATGATAGGGGGTAGTCATAGAATGCTTAATATGAGTAACGAGGAGAGTCAGGGAAGCATTAACATAATGAAAAGTGTTAGGTGGGAATCCTAGAAACATATAAGATATTTGGCGTCAGAGAAGTGTTAGGATGATGGAGGGGATAGATGGGGAGTGTGGAAAGCAACGATTATAGCAAGATGGTAGTGTAGCCAATATTAAGATATACAGGATAGTAAAATGTTAGTTAGCATGAGGTAGCTTTGTCAACACTGAGATATTCAGGATAGTAAAATCTTAGCTTAAGGAAGGGTTGCCAATACTAAGATATTCAGGATAGTAACATCTTAGTTAGCATGAGGAAGGGTTGCCAATAGGATATTGAGGGTAGTAATTAAATGTTAGTATGATGTAGAGGAGTCAGTACGTCCTTGGCAGGGGGTGGTGGAGCATCAGGAAGGTATTAGCATAAATGGAGACAGTGTCAGAATGGGCTTAGAGGAGTACACGCCGGAGAGGAGGTGAAAAAACTACAGAAGGAGAGCGCAATGTGAGAGCACCCACGGGGTCAGGGCAATACCCTAGAACTCAGACGCCAGGTTTGAGATGACGAAAAATGGAACAACGATAATTCGATGAATGTCTAATCGAGGCGATATGTCATTCATCACACAGTAGAAGTTAATGAATGAATAATTAGAAAGAGTTTGCTTAGTACAGCCAGATGTAGAGAAACGTTGTCTGCACTGCATGCTAGTTTATGCATATACAGGGTATTCCACGAGTTGCAATCATTATTAGTTCCAAAACCTTTCTCGTGATGCGATAGTTTCGCAAATCACTTGAAAGAAAAGTTTGGTTCATTTGTGCGTTTGCGGTTTGCAAGACGTGTTAATACGTTAATCAATAATAATGCATTTGCAAAACGCACGTTTGTAACTGTGGAAGTCTCTATATATGAATATATATGTGTATGTGTATGTGTTTATGTGCTACACCCACCGCCAATGCTAACTCTGTGTCTAACTGCATTTTTTAACTGCGTTTACCGTTGCTCTCTCGTTAAACACATATGTTTGAGTGTATGCCATCACCTTGCTTACTGTCATAATAATGGAGGCAGCACAGAAGCGTATAGCTAAATAACAAGTGTGTGAGATTACTGGAGATGGGGATGAAGAAGAAGATGGTGTTTGAGAGGGTGTGGAAAGTTGCGAGAAAAAGTTGTGTGAACGAAAAAGATAGAGAGCGCGTGCGTGAGAGAAAAGGAAACGTGAACGAGAGAGAGTGCGAGAGAGAGACGGTGACAGAGACAGAGGATTTGAAATCCGAACTTTCAAACTTGTAC